GGGTGGGGCGGGGGCCAGGTACGGAAGGCCTCACCCACAGCACCAGGGTGTTCATGAGGCGGTCGATGCTCGTTCTCTTGAACTTCGTCCTGCCGCTGTTCTGCATCAGCTTGGTGTCGGGGCCTGGGGAAGAAAAGAAAGGGTTGGGGAAGCCAGACGTGGAATCTGGCCCCTGCGTCCAGGCGGCAGGTCATCAGGGTGGGGCAGGGACACTGGCCAACAGGAGGTCTGTCTTCAGAGCCGCCACAGGTCCCCCTCACACTCTCTATCCATGCAGCCAGCCGCCTCCAGCACTCCCATCCCCACCCCCAGCCCTGCTCCCTCACCAGCGAAGATAACCAGGCCGAAGCACCACTCGGTGTTCCGCAGCACGCAGCCCCGCAGCAGCATGTTCTGGTTGCTCAGGGGGAACTTGTTCTCCTTCCAGTACAGGGCCCCGCTGAACTTGTCCAGCTTGTTGTTGGGCGGTTCACAGATCACTTCGCCTGCAAGGGAGAGAGCAGCCCCCGCTCAAGGTCCCAGAGTCCCTGGGCAGTGCAAACAATTCAGCATTTCATCCTGGCCGGAAGGTTGGCAAGCCCAACTCATGCAGAGGGTACCTGGGATGACTGGTTATCTGTCTGCTTCCAAAGGGTCACAGCTTTGGGAACCCTCCACACGCACCACGCACGCGCCCACAGTGGCCACGAGCCACAACTGCCTCAACGGGGAGGCACAGTAACAAGAGCAGCTCAAGATCTAGTTCACAACTTGACCCACAAGACAGAGAGAAAGCAGCTCAGTGAGGGAGGAGGTGAGCGGACAGGAAGCCCTCCCACAGGAAGCCCTCCCACAGGAAGCCCTCCCACGCGCTATGGGCGACCGTGAACTGCAGCAACTTTCTGGGAAAAGGAGGAGGCCAGTGTGAACTGTGATCAAAAGTATACGTGAGTCTCAGACTGAGTAACGCCACTTTTAAGGCTCTCTAATGCAGAAATCATAGCACAGATCCCTGAGATTACGTATACATATCTCCTTTGAAACATGTATGTATCCTTTGAGAAACAGAAGGCTGACAACAACTGAATGGTCAGGGAATAAATGAATGAATTACGCTACATTGACTCTATCCAACCTAGTTCATCTGCTTTAAAATCTGAGGCCAGTTTCTTTATACAAGGGGGCTTCAAAAAGTCTGTGTTGGGGAAAAAGTAAAAATAAGGGAAAGCGCATGGAATTTTCCCAGAGCCTTTTTGAAGCCCCCTCATATAGTGGTCTGATACCAGTGGTCCCTGACAGGTATCAAAGGCAGAAACTGTAGAACGTTTGCTACAGTGTAATCCCACTGACTTATGGTTACATGTATTTGTCTAAACAGAGAGAGAGAAGTGGATGCCAGTGGGGTTTCTCCTGGAGGATGGAACTGGAACGGAAAGGGCAGGAAGGGCTGTTAACATTTTCTGATACTTTTAGTGTCTCCATCAATAAACAAATGCAATAAACTAGATGGCTTTGCACACACACAGCAAGTGGGAGCTGTCTGACACGCAGGTCCCTCGTAATGACCATCATCCCAAAAGCCAACGGAAACCACTCTGACAGCCCCACAGCGGCTTGTCCCGGTTGCTCAGGGGGAACCTGTTCTCCTTCCACAGAGGGTCCCACCGAACTTGTCCAGCTTGATGTTGGGACACGGACAGGTCCTCCTGCCCATCCCACCCCACCCCAAATTCCAAGACCCTGCATGACCAGAGCCAAAGAAGCCCACAGGAAAAGGTGCCATTGAAACCCCAAACACAGCCCAGCCCCATCACCTGAAGACTGCTTCCCCAAGGGCGACTCACCGTCAAACTTGGCGAGCTTACTGATGTCCCCCAGTTCCGAGGTGACGGGAATCGCCTGGCGCACTTTCATGTTGGTCTCTCTGGAAAGACAGTGGCCCCAGCCTCGGCTCCCTTCCCTTCCTCTGGTTCTGCCCAGGGCACTGCACCCCGGGGTACGACACCCCCAGGCCCAAGCCACTTACCCGTCGAGCTCTGCTGTTTCTATGTAACACAGCCCATGGGGCTCACTGCTGGACAGCAAGAGGAGGTCCGCCTAGAGAGAGACTCTGCTGAGGGCGTCCAAGGCCCGCTCTCCACCCCAACCGCCCCTGTCACGAGCTCCTCTTCTGCTCGGCACTCTTGATTTGTGGAGTTCCAAGCCCAAGAATGGGTACGAAGGGGCCAGTCCCAGGCTTAGCAACAGGACCCACCATCCCCCAGTCAAGAGCCTAGCTAGCCTAGCCTTCCACGGCGTCTAATGAGGGAAGACTCATCTCTTTCTACCAAAGAGGAGCAGCAGCCCCGGAGGCCCTAGTGGGGCACCTTGTCCCTTACCGCCACAAACTGGTTATTTTCAAGCTTGATAATATCACCAACACAGACATTCATCCATTGCTCTTGCTGGAGGCTGGGGCAAGGAGGAGATAGGGAAGAGGCGGTCAGTAGCTGGACAGGCTCCCAGCTTAGCCAACTCTTCCCCAGAGCCCGCAGCCCCCACCGGGCACTCACATTCCATTGATGAGCACCTGAGACTGACGGTTATTCACCTGGTTATCACTCTTATGGCGGAACTGGAAGGAAGGACAGGGGGATAATCAGAATGGTGCCTATGCCCACTCCAGGGCAGGTGAGATGACCAGCGGAACCCAGAACATTCTGGGAAATGTCTTCTATACACCCGCTCCTCGCAGACACACTGCTTCCTCCCTGACTGACCCACGTGGCCACCCTTGCCCCGCTAGCCAAGATGCTGGGGCTCTAGCTGGACAAGGCGAAGGATGTCCAGGTCACCATGGAAACTGCTGGGTGGAGAACTGGGGGATGGCAAAGTGAAGGAAGAAGACTAAGAACCACTCACATAGTCATCAGTGGCATCTTTGACAGCTGTGATGGCGAGGACAAGGACCAAAGGCACAATGGTGGTGAACCAGGACAGGGAAGAGATCTGGGGGATCAGCTGAAAGGAGGAAAGAGAAGGCAGGCCTCTGAGTCCTCACGCTCGGCCTACTTTATCCCTGGCTTTCTTCACTTCAGCGAGCTACCAGGGGTCTACCGTGTATCACTCACCTGCAGGATGAGAAGGAACAGGAAGTACGTGTTGGCAACTTCCTGAAACTGCTCAAAGAGGTTGACAGGCAGGAAGGTGAGAATGTTGTACTTGGAAGTCTGGATGCAGTTACTCTGTGCGGTGAGAAAGAAGACAGAGAGACAGCCTCGAACCTCAACCCAGAACCACATGACGGCTGCCGGCGCCACCTGGGAAAGAGCCCTGGTGGGGTCGTGGCAATGCCATTGGGCTGCTAACCACAATGCCAGCCGTTTGAAGCCAGCAACCACTCAGAGGTAGAAAGATGGGGCTTTCTACTCCCATGAAGAGTTACTGTCACAGAAACCCACAGGGGGCAGTTCTACCCTGTCCAGTAGGGTTGCTGTGAGTCAGCATCGCTTCCAAGGGCAATGAGTATTCCATCTGGTGGCACTGCCAAGTGAGCATTGAACTGTGAAGGTCAGTGGTTCGAACCCACCACCTATTCCTCAGGAGAAAGATGAAGCTGTCTGCAACCACAAAGATTTCCAGCCTCAGAAACCCAAAGGGGCAACTCTACTCTTTCCTGTAGGGGTACTATGAATCAAAACGGAATCCTTGGCAGTGAGTGTGGTTTATCCTATCTTTAGGAGCCCTGGTAGCACTATCAAGTAATTGTTGGTCTGCTAAGCACATGGTCAGAGGTTCAAATACACCATTCGCTCCTCGGGAGAAAGATGAGGCTGTCTGCTCCCATAAAGATGGCTCATCTTAGGAACACTGTAGCAGGTTGTGATGCACTGATGAAACAAAAAGCGATGGCAATGGATTTTTGTTTCATCTTTGCCCTTTTCCAAACCTCTGCCCCAGTGCAGCACCAGCATGGGGGGCGTGGGGGGGATCTCCTAGGGTCGAAGTACAAGTAGGGTGCTTCCAGGTGCAGGTGGATGTACATGTAGCAGAGCCACAGATGGAGGATGGCTCCAGAGGGTCCCCTCCCCTCCCAGTCTCAACCAGGGATGGCTCCTGCCCTGTCCCCTCTGTGGCCCAGGGAGAGGGAGCAGGTGGTGTGAAGCTTACCGCATACTGGAATTTCTCATTGTATTCCCGGTCATTGGCCCTCGCCCTCCTTTCTTCTTCTGCAACAGAACGAGCATGCCCTCAGGAGCCGTGCCCGTGTCCTCTTCCCGGCAGGGGAAGGAGTCAGAGGCAAGGCCCAGAGGGTCACTCGCCCAGCTTTCACAGCCAGCCTGCGCGCACGATAGTCACAGGGCACAGGTGCGCCCTCCTCACTAACAAGCGGCAAGGGCTTCTACGGGAAGCATTTGGTTCCTCTCCCAGCCTTTGGGAGCCTCGGCCATTCAGTGTCCTGGGAAACCCCAAATGCTTTTACTGCCATTGTTAAAGCGATCTTCGTCATATAAGTGCAGACAGCACAAGGCTTCCTGCCCCATTGGGGCCCATGAGCATCTAGCATGGCACTGCCTGCCCCTTAACCTGGGGGACAGGGGTGGCAAGGAGGGTCACCATGCCCTGGAGGTACTTTGCGGCAGTACCCTAGCCCCACATGCAACTGGGCCCCCCCTTCCCCCAGGAGCCTCTGCTTGTCACATGTCACTGGCAGCAGCTTCTGACTGGTCCACAATGACATCATCTTTTTCCAAAGCCCGTCTTCAAGTAGAAGGGGGGTTAGGGATGTGGGTCATGCAGAGAGGACGGAATGGGATGGAATTTAAACAGTTGCTCCTTTACTGTAACCTTCCCTGCACTTGGAGAGGAGACGTTCTTCCCCTCAACAGTACTTTTGTCAGATGGACACTGAGCCCCTGCTAGCCCTACGCTGATACCCTGAACCTCCTTGGCCCTGATGTGCAAACGCCAAGTTCAAGTCCCACACCGGGAGCTGTCCTAGGAAGGTTTCCCAGCCCATGTCCAGGGGTCACTGTGACCTCTGACTGGAACAGGGAGGGTGCCTTGGTTAGGCAGGAAACATAACACCTTAGCCCGGGAGTGCAGGGTGCCGGTGCTGACCCCTGCCCATGCCACGCAGACCCCCAGCCCTTCCCAGAGCACACTGCAGTGGGTGACAAATGCTCTGTCCCACGGAGCACCCCTTCCTGAGTAACCACTCTAGTCCCAGAAACTTCTCCAGGGGCTGAGTCCTCTGCGCAGTCACCAAAAACCATGCAAAAGAGGGTGGGGGCCCAGACTCGCTGGGTCTGGAAAGGTGATGGGAAGGGTGGGGGAAGGCATAGGGGAAGCAGATTGGGGCAAGGGGGAGGATCACGGGTGCGGGAGAGCTGTCAGGCACTGTCTCCCGTTACCTGTCCCCCAAGAGGGCTTCTTTCGGCTCCACGAGGGGGGTGCCCCGGCCCGGGCCCACTTCTCGGGCATCTCCTTGGGGACCGTCATGATCCCGGTTTGAGCAGGAGATGGTGGGCTGTCTGCCTGTCCTTGACCTCAGTGGCACTGAGTGGATAGCCCCCCGGGGAGGCAGAGGGGCTGCGGCCCTGCAGAGGGGAGCCCCGGCCGTGGGACACATGCCCCACGGGCAGCCCGGGCCATCCTCCCAGCTGCCTGCTCCC